ATTGGACGAGGACGGCGAGGAGGAGGACTTGGTGGGCGTGGCCGGGGCCGACGAGGAGGAGGAGGTCTCCGGCGATCCGGCGGGCGAAGAGGTCCGAGCGCGGCCCGTCTGCTCCTGCTTCAGCCGGTCGGTGCGGCGCCGCTGCGTGACGGCCGCCTGCTCGCTGACGCTCTGCTGGACGCTGCGCTCGGCCCGGCTCATCGTCAGCTCCTCTCTGTGCAGCGTCTTCGCTTTCTGACCCGTCAGGATGATCTTGGTGGGCGGCTGCGGGTCCGCCGGCTGCGTCTCCTCGGCGTCGGTGAGGCGCTGGACGTGCGCCCCGTCGATGGACACCGGGTTGTACTCGTCCGGGTTCTTCTTGGCCGTGTGGTGCAGGATGGTGTTCACCACCTTCTGCACCAGGATCTCGCTGCCGAACTCCCCCGGGAAGTGCTTGGTGACCAGCTTCATGGCCACGTCGTACACGTTGCTGTTCAGCGCCGGGTCGGCCTCGTACTGGAACCAGTACACGGTCTCCCTCACCACGCGGCCCCCCCACTCCAGCGTGATGGGGAAGGCCTCGGGGAGGTTGTCGTACTCCTTCCCCTCCCAGAAGTGCTTGAAGCCGCAGCCGCACTTCCCGCCCTGCGAGCGGGTGTTGGTTCTGTCCCCGTCCAGGTACACCACCGACCCGTTGCCGTGGATGTGGCGCATCGACGTCCCGTGACACCAGTTGCAGGCGTTGAGGGAGCTGAGTTTATAGTCGGGCAGGAGGACGTCTCTGTGCGGGTCGAAGGAGCAGACCACGTTGTTGAGGGGGAAGCTGTAGTTCTTGTCGGGCCGCAGTTGTCCGTGAGTGGACTTGGCCAAGTTGTAGAGCTTCCCGCCCGGAACCAGCCACTCCGGCGGCACGTGGAGCTCCGAGAGGGCGCCGCAGATCAGGCAGCGGTGCAGCCGGTTCTCCAGCACCGACTTCTTGGCCGCCTCCGTCACCTCCTCGGGCTGGATGCCGATCACGCCGGTGCGCCGGTACACGTACTGGTGCACGTCGGCCACCAGCGCCGGGTGGATGTTGTGCTTCTCCATGAACACCTCCTCCATGGCGTTCACCAGGCGCATCAGGTACTTGTCCTGCAGGCTGCGGTCGCCGCCGATCACGCAGCTGCCGTCCGGCTCCAGCTTCACGTACCTCCGGATGAGCTCCTGAGGAACGCCCCACGCCTTCGGCAGCAGCCGGGCCGGCAGCTTGGGCGGCGCCGTGTTCTTGATCCCCACCAGAGGGATGTAGTGGTTCCTGCCCGAGCTGCTCCAGGCGATGCAGATGGGCTTGTTGAGCTTCCCGTCTTTGCCGCGGCACTGCTCCTCGGGCACCAGGCCCGGCAGGAAGGTGGCCGAGTAATCCCCGGAGCTCCTCATGCCGCTCAGCGAGTCCAGCAGCACGATGGGCCGGTGCAGGACGTTGGCCAAACCGAAGATGTGGATGTTGCGCAGCCCGAGCGGCACGCCTTCGGGCGGGACGAAGAGCGGGTCGCACTCGTTGATGATGTCCTCCCACTCCGCGGCGTCGATGAAGTCCTGGAAGAGAGCCTTGTAGCGGTCCAGGTTCTGCTTGAAGTTCTGCTTCAGGTTCTCTCTCAAGGCGTGCCAGAACAGCTCTCTGCCCACCAGCGCCCGGGACACGGCGTGGACCAGGCAGTGCCCGTCCCCGTCCACGTGCACCGGGATCAGACACTCCCGGTTGCCGTTGGCCTTCTTCACCTCCTCCAGGGTGTCGTGCAGGTATATGAGGCTGCCGGACCGGTCCTTGCCGTAGCCCATGGTGGACACATGGTCCGGCTCGATGAGGAACACCCGGTCCCCCAGGAGCGAGCAGTCGAACATCTCGCCCTGGTTCATGTCCCTCAGCAGCTTGGCTTTGCCGGTCTGCTTGTCCATGCCGTACCTGGTGAGCACCGGGGACAGCAGCTTGCAGTGGTAGTTGGACAGCCCCATCACCTTCACCAGCTCCGTGCCTTTCTTCGGGGCCCCGGTGACGCCGAGCAGGGCGTTTCTGAGCAGATTGTGCAGCACCACATCCGGATCGGTCACCTCCTCCACGTTTAACAGGTTCTTCTGCTCGTGGCGTTGGCCGCACTCGGTGCACTCGATGCTAACGGAGCCGTACGCGGGGAAGAACAGCCTCGCCTCGCATTTCGGGTCCGGGCAGGTACCGGACAAAATGCGCTTGTCTTTTTTCTTGGAGCTCTGCAGCAGAGACATTTCGGCGCGAAAAAGGCTGAAACTGTGTGTCAGCTTCACAGAACCATGATAGTCGGAGTCCGGCGGGGCTGTCAGACGAGCTTCGGCTCCGGTACCGAGAGTTATTAACCAGAATAACACAAGAACAACACGGAAGCGGCTGTTTTTTCTCTTTAGCGACTGACCGTTGCTAAACGTGACTACGTCATGACGTAAGATTGTGGGACTTGTAGTTGTGGCGTGTAAATACCTTTGAAAATCTTTACACATGAGAATGACTACACTACATTTACAGCGTTTCCTTTGTAGCGACGGGACTCAAAAACAAGAGTTTAATGTTTAAGTTAACACACACGCGTTGTTAAATGGTTTAAATGACCAACGTTGACGTTCAGTAGACTACATGTACCAGAATGCAGCGCGCCGCAGTGACGTTTTGTTGTGTAAGGAAGTCAATACGGCAGAATCATGGCAGTTGGGGCAGAATAGATGGGTTGTGTCATAAACTCTCATTAATTGAGGAGTGTTAATGTATTAAAAGCTTGTTTTGGCTCAAGGTGTTGGTGCCGTTTGGCTCGTATGAGTCGGCGGGTTAAACACAGCTAGCAGCCGTTGCTAGGTAACCTCCGAACATCTGGTAACGTTGATTAAAAACAACCGTTGGCGAGCAGAGGATGTCTGGTGCCGCTGCGTTAGCCCGCGGTTTAATTGATTTAAACAATAACTTAGAGGCTATAAATCAAACATAATCCACAGCACAGACTAACTGACGGCTGCTACAGACAGTGCGGGTTCAGTTTTGGACCGATGGACCGATAAATGTCCCTGCCTGTGTCCGGAGCTTGAAGAGAAAGAGCCTGTCGCCGAACTCTATTCAAAAATATGTCAATTTAATAGTTATTTGCTTACCGACCAACAAAAAACAAATCAATGAACGAACTAAATGGATTACCTAAACGTTGAGTGACCTTTGATCAATACGGCTCATTTGATCCAACAATTGCACTTATTTTATTATACTTATACTTATACTGTCTCACAGCTCCCATGTTGTCTGATTTGGTGGCAGATTGAGGGAATAATGGATCTAAAGCCAAATCAAGAATCAGTTTCTATTATTAATAAATGCTGTTCAGCTCATTCTGTATGGAAATACTTTAAAACGTCATAATATCAGTACAATTATTATTTTAAAGAGACAATATGCAGTATATTGTATTAGTTTTAGCCTATTAATAGCCTCAATCACACACACATAGTTAAAACAAGAGAGTGCTTGAAGAAAAAGGTTCTGTTACAAAATAATTCCTGCATTACAGGGCAGGACATTAGAGCTCTCTGAACTGTTTAAAAGTGGAAGTTGTTGGAGGCATCTTTGTGCATGTTGACTGATCCGACGCTACCAACAGTCTGGATGGAGTACGGCATAGGATGTGATGTCCCTTCATCAGCCTCTTGTGAGACTGCTGCTGTACCAACACCAACACCAGGGTGATTAATAACAATGACTAACCCCTTGGTTCACAGCCTAAGCTCAGACAGCTACGGGGTTGGAAATGCAAGAAGTTGTTCAGGAGAGGGGGACAGGGAAAGCCCGGTTGAAATAGGGCTGAATGAAGTTCATGAAGCTTCTCAGTGCAGCTTTTACACCATAGATCAATGTATACTCCTAGACCACTGGGAAATCAACTGGCGTCCTGTCAGCCTGAACTCTTGAATTGATGAAGAACTTACTGAAAAGATCTGAAAGAAACACAGTGGTGTTTTCTTAATTCAAGGAGTGCTCCTTTAAGTTGTGTCTTTTGATGGGAGCTAACTCAGCGGTTCTGTTCTTGCTCTCTTCTTTTCTCTCTCTTTATATTTCACCTGCTTGACCAACATGATTACACACTCACTGAATTATTTGTCTACAACGCTGATGCATCAGGGGCCTTTGTTATGTTTGTATCAAAAGGACGATTGATCGTTCCCAAATTATTAAATTAGAGGACTTGCTGCCTGCTGGGTGAAAAAAATGCATGTCACACATTCCTGGCCCTCCTAAAATTCTGATAAAACGAGCATTGCTGCGTCATTGGCCCCTGCCTCTACATAAAACACCAGTTTGCATCAAGCAACAGCTAACTCTCAATGACTGTGTGATGAAGAATAAAATCTAAATAGAAACAAAATAAGAGATGAATTCAAAACATCAGAAGCACTAATAGGTAGAACAGTTGTAGTAGTAGTGACAGTAGCGTACAGTTGGAAGCAGTGTGTGGCAGACACTAGGAGGGGCAGCAGGTGTGGAGGTTTTATTTTCACAGCAGCACAGAACAGATAGAAGTACGTCATATAACTGTAGTATGAGCTGATAACTACAGGCTTTAAAGTGAGGGCCCACTGTAAATAATCTATAACAACATAAAGATGATTATTAAATTTTAAATAATGATCAACATGTAGTAATGATGAAGTTTTATTGTAACCGGTGACGACAAAGGTCCCCTAACCTTAACAAAGTGGATTATTTGAACCCAAACCACGATCTTTCCCTGAACCTAAACCAAGTCTTGGTTTGTAAGATCATAAACAGATTTATTGATCAGTGATTAGAACAGGTTAGAAAGACACAGACAGATGATGTGGTCTGGCTGATAGTTTCATCAGATCAGCAAAACACTGATGAAGATTTATTTTTGTTTCTGCTCATTTTCAGCACCGATCCCTCAGGATTATTCAGACACATGTAACTAACAACAGAGCAAACACTCAGGTGTGTGTGTGTGGTGTGGTTTGTGTGTGTGTGTTGTGGTGTATATAATTATATTAATAAAGCACGCACACACTTTTGTCTACTAAAATCAACTATAACTTTAGATGCATTGTGTGACAGTAACTTGGCTGAAAAAGAGCAATAGCACACTGCAGTCATTTTTTAACCAGGTAAAAAAAATAAACGACTGAAACAGGAGGCCTGTCAAGAATGGCAGAACACAATGTTAAATAGCAAATTAATAAGAACACAATGGAAAACTCATGAAATATTGCATGCAGACAACCTAGATGGATGGGCTTTACTGTTTCCAATCAATAGCCTCTCTATGGAGGCCTACTTTATTATCATAATTATTATTAGTTATACCTTATGTCACTCTACCTTTGTCTCCTTTGATGTATTGGGAGGTTGTTGTGAAGCCTATTTGCTGGGCAGATATAAATGATTTGAATGACTGTGTTTAGGTCATCCTGGCATAAAACCCTCCAAAATCATAAAAGATACAAAAAAATCTGCATTTTGTCAATTATTTACACACACACACACACACACACACACACACAAACACACCAACACACAAACAACACCACAACACTCAAAAGTGCTCTCTTGGAACTGAGCCTGTTAGGACACATGTCCAAAATGGTGAATAAATTAAAACTTGTCATAGAGCTAAACCAAATACCATCTCTGGAAAGTCTTGACCTGGAGACTAACATATAGTCAATTTGAAGGTTCTATATTAATTCCTGCCTTGGAGATATCGACCTTGAATCTTAAACCTCAGGCATTATTTGAAGGCTTATATAATTACGGGACAAAAAGGGTTACAGACATGAGACCAACTGTTATAGAAAGCTTGTTGACATGGGCTATTAATCGGTGAGCATAGTTTCAGCCAGGCGGGTGGGGCGGGGGCAACACAAGTACTGAAGAGGGCTCATGGAGTTGTAGTTTAAAAAAAAATCCCAGGGGGGGTTTTTCCCCTAAAATTGGATAGTTGTAAATACTTAATTGGTGCAATTTCCAGATGTTTGAGGGCTATTTGGTGTAAAAATAAAAAATCCCCATTGAAACCAAGACAATATTAAAGTCTGATACCAAAAAACTGTGTTTGACTCCCCTCAAAAATCTGCGAATGCACAATTAAGTATTTACAACTTCATTTTAGGAAAACCCTGGATTTTTTAAACTACAACTCCCATGAGCCCCTTCAGTACTTGTGTTGACATCAGCACCCAGTTGTAGTTCCTCCGTTTTGATGGTTGGGTGAAAACGTATATCTACTAATATATCAAGTATCACACACTGTGTAATGAATAATGAACTGCAGTATATGATCTATGCTAAGAAAACAACAATGTTTGTTTAAT